GATAGGCTGGGCCGCTCGTGTTGTGTGTGGGTTCCGTTGGGGTGGGGCGTGCGCGGGGGTGCACTGTGTGCTTGATCCGGCGGTATATTTTTGGGCTATCTCTCCTCAAAAACGATGTCAAGCGCCCGCTCGCAGCCAGCCGCGCCGCGCCCCTGGGCGCTCCCCGCTGCGGCGCGCCGCCCGCGCGCGGGTTGCCCGGGCGAGCGACCGCCACCGCTCGCCCCTCCGCGCCCTCTGCCCGCGCACGGCCGACGCGCAAGCCCGCGGTCGCGTGCGAGCCGTCGCTTTGCGGACGCCACCGTCTACCCGCGCTCGCTCGCGATCGAGTCAGACGACCCTATATTCCGAGTAGCGGAGGTGTGCTTGCACCCCCTTCCCAAGGCACATGCAAAATGGACGGAGAAAATAACCGCGGCGGCGGCCGCAATCTCACATTTTGCGCCTCACCCCCAGCAGGCGCGCCCTCGGCGTGCTGCTCCTGCACAGGTTTTGCGGCCGCCCCGAGAGGGGGAGCGGCCGCTTCTCCGCACCATCGGCCCACGGCATCCTGGGCGGCGTCGGCGCCGCCCCAACGGCCGGCTCGGGCGCTTGCCGCCCCGCCTCGGCTACACTTTGCCGCGGCGATCCACCGGTGCGCCGCCGCACCGCGCGCCTCCCCGGAGCCTCTGTACGGCGCGATGAGCCGCCTCGGCTGCCGCCGTGGTTGCGCCGGCGCCCCTCCCGCACGGCGCGACGCGACCGCAGCCGCGTGCATGGTCTCACTCACCTCTCCCGCCCGCGCGTCCGCCTCTCAGACCCGCGCCTCCCCTTTACCAGGCGCCATCACCGGCACGGCCGCCGCCGCCCGTGCGGCACCCGCGGCACCTCCCGCCCCCCCTGGCGATGCTGGCCGCTACCCCGCCGCCGTAGCTACCCTCCCCACCGCTGGTGCACCGCCTCCGCCGCCCCCCTCGCCGCTTCGCCCGTGATTTTGCCGCCTCCTCCACCACCACCCGTCTAAGCTTCCGCCCGCCTTCTCGCCACCGCCGTCCGCGCCACCTCAGCCGCCCTCCCCGGCGCTGCACCGGCGCTGCAGTGCCGTCGGCGCCGCCGCCCGTGCCGCCTCGGCCTCTGCGCCTCCAACCTCGCCGCGTCCGCAGCGGTTCCGCCCTCGGCGCCTCCCACCTCTCACCCGCCAGGTCGAACTTCCGCCGACGATGGTGCCACCGCTGCCGCCCCCCCCGCTCGAGCCTCGGCCGCCGCACCCCGCCGTCCGCGCCCCGCCGCCACCCCCTCCGTCACGGCACACGCCGGCACCACCGCTACTACCGCTGGCTCCGCCCTAGACGCCGCCGACCGCTCGCAAGAGCGGCGAGCCCGGGGCCGACACCCCTCTGTTAGGTGACGGTCGACGGCTCCTTTCGAGGCTTTGTGGCCCTTTAAGAGGGCACCAGCAGCTTGGGGGGTGCGCGCTGGATGGCCGGCGCGGTGGAGCAGCGGCGCGGAGCCGGGGGTTCGACGTGCGGCCGTCGGTGGCGCGACACGCGGCCTCCGGTAGCGATTCGCCGCGGCTCCGGCGGTGCGATTTTTGTGCGTTTTCGAAGGTTGTGGGCGGGATAAGGCCGGCTAGACCGGCCCTGGTGTGCCCTAGTGTGTTCCCTTACACCCCTGGCCCGGGAGCAGTAGCGCGGTGCGCGTCCCGAGGGCGTAGGGGCTCAAAAAACAATTGATTGTTTTTTCAGCCACTTAGAGCACACAGTGGCAGTTCGAGACCTACGACGAGAAGCTCGACCTCGCGCAGCACTGACTTCTCCGATTGGCTGCGAGCGCTGTGGCCGACATATTGCGCGGTGGAGGGCGAGAGCGAGGAGGACGAGGATGAGGACGAGGGGGAGGGCGAGAGCGAGGAGGAGTATGACTATGACAGCGACGACAGCTCGAAGACATACACGGGTCGGGAGGGTTTGTGGGACCTATCGTTGACAGCGTTAGCAGCGATGGCCTGCGGCGGAGACGCTCCGCTCGCTGCCGACCGAGGAGCGAGATCACCCGAGATCACCCGAGATCATCGGAGATCACGCGAGGTTGTCTCTGCTCGCCGCCAGAAGAGGAGCCGGCCGAGCGCCCCTCCCGCCGCTTGCTCTTCTTGAGCTTGCTCCTCTTGAGCCCTTCTCGGAGCGTCGCTAGGAGGAGCTGGCCGCGTACCTCTCCCGCTGCTGGGCCTCGGGCGGCGCGCTAAACTACCCGCACACGTCGCTGTACGGCGTGTGCGTGCTGCACGCTCTGCGCCACTTCGAGCGGCGCCAGTTCCTCTTCCTCCGGTACGAGGACTTGATGCAGATGGACGCAGCCGCACTCCTCAGGCTGATCGGCCGCTTCACCGGCTTGCCCGTGCGCGGCGACTTGTTTACAGCCGTGCCAAAGAAAGCTAAAGAAGAGAAAGCTGAGCAGGCCTGTACGCGGGCGACGACCTCGTCCTCGCCGCGAGCCAGAGCGGACGCTGCTCGGCGAGCGCCGCAAAGGCAGGCCGCCGCCGCGCGCCGAGCACGTACAGCATCATCAGCGACGAGGAGCGGGCCCTGTACAACCGCTCGCGCGACGCAATGAAGGCCGACGCCGCTGCATACGACGACCTCTTCGCGCCGTACAACGCGCTTCTGGCCAGTCTCGTGGGCTTCTCGTGGGGGGCATGATCTCGCCCGACTCCCGATCTCCCCAGAGTTCGATCTCGGACCTGCTCCGTTGCGTGGTCCGTGGTCGTCTTTTTTGTGCCTGAGCTATAGTGTATAGAATTCTCTCGCAAGACGTCAACTCCAACTGAGAGGCCGCGCGCATAGACAAAAGTATTTACTATTTTCCCAAAGTGCACGAGTTCGACCTCTCGTTTACGCGAACTCGGCGTATTCAACCACGAATCGCGCGTCGTCCCTCTCTCAATCCCTACTCCTCCTCCTCTACCTCCTCCTCTCCCGACTCCTCCGCCAAGCTGCCCATCCCGTCCCGGAGGCCGCCCCGAGGGGAGAGCGGCGCCGCGCGTGCCGGAAGTGCCCCCGATGCGGCGACCCGCATCTCGCGCATCGCCCTCTGCAGCCCTTCCTCCTGCTGGCGGAGCGAGCGGGCGGCGCGCGCCTAGGACGAGGGTGAGGCAGCGTCTCCACACACATGGGGGTGGCGCGAGGGCCCAGGCTATCCCTCGCGACTCCGAACCCAGACAGGCCGGCAAGGAGCCTCACGGCATTCAGAGTGAACGGGCCGGTGCGCGTGGGTGAGTGCGGACTTCGCACCCCCCACTACCCCTCTCGGCGCCTTGGCGGACGCCGCCGCGGCGTCGAGCGCCTCCACCACGTCGCCGAAGCCCTGCGCGGCCGCGACGTCCTTCGGCGTCTGGCCGAGCCGGTTGCGCCGCGACGCGTCCACTTCGCGGCTCTCTCCCTGCCGCTGCGTGTTTGGCGCGCCGAGCAGTGCGAGCACGGCGCGCGTGTGGCCGAGCCCGCTCGCGGTGTGGAGGGGCGTCTCGCCTGTCCACAGGTCCCGGGGTGTGAGCAGACGCTCTCACAGCCGAGGCACGCCCTGCGGAGGGGCGTCTCGCCCGCGCGCGCCGTCGGCACGTTCAAGTCTGCCTGCTCACAGCCTGGGCCGTGTGAAGAGACGCCGTTCACAGGCTCGAAGGTGAGCACGGGCAGGTCGGCCTTCCAGGCGGCCTCGCAGAGGGTGCGCAGCGCGGCGAGGTGTCGCGGCGCGTCGCCGCCGCGCGCTGCGAGGTGGAGCGGCGTCTCGCCGAGGTAGTTTGTCTTGCCGGGGTGGGCGCCGTGCTCGAGCAGACAGCGGACCTACGAAGGCGACAGGTGTGAGCCGAGGCGCAGGCAGCTGTGCACCGCCGTGGCTCGAGGAGGCGCGGCGGACCACGTCCGCGTGGCCCCCCGCCGCAGCCAGATGCAGCGGCCGCTCCTCGGCGTTCGTGTCGGCCTCAATCGGCGCACGCGGCTGCCTCAGCGTTGTGTTGAGCGAGAGGAGAAAGTCGCAGGCGGGCGGGTGGCCGGCCTGGGCGGCGTGGTGCAGCGCAGTCAGCCCGAAGCTGTCACGCGCGCCCACGCGCGCGCCGCCCTTGAGCAAGGCCCGCAGCGTCTCGATGATGGCTCCGTCGCGACCAGCAGCGTCGGCGCCGGCGACAGACGCGTCGGCACGCGCGGCTAGGTGGAGCGGCGAGCAGAAGTTGCGGTCGCGCGCCTCCACGTCGGCGCCGGCGGCGATCAGCTTCGCCACGGCGGGCGCGGCAGAAAGCCGCGCGAGGCTGTGCAGCGCCGTGCCGCCGTTGTGAGGGTCCCGCGCCTCGAGGAGGAGCGGCTGGCGGCCAACCGCCTGCAGGACCGCGTCGCCACGCCCCTCGCGGGCCGCAGCGAAGAAGGGCTCGAGATCGGCGTCGGACATGCCGGGACGTGGAGCCAGATGGCCTTTTTGCGCGGCCAAAGCGAAGAAAAATCCACGGGTTTAGACTCGCGCAGGTGGGGACCCTGTCCTTCTCCCACCCCTTGTTTGGTGTGTCCGTTTTATTTATTTTATTTACTCGATTCCGTGAGCGGACTCTGTCGGCAAAACACGCCTGGCCGTGGTAGCGCAAGGCACAGGGTGGGTCTGGGTGGGTGTTATACTGGGCGGGACATGTGAAGCAGTTCGGGACATGTGAAGCAGTTCGGGAAAGATAAGGTGGCGTGGGTTACAGTACGTGTGCGTTGGCATTCCCTATTCCTCTGAAAAAGGGATTTGGTTGGCTCCAGACAACAAAATCAACACGCTTTTTTCTTTTTTGGCAAAAATCGAGCCGCCGGCCAGAAAGGCGTGTCACCATTACTCCAGCTTACTCGACGGTGCACCCGCCTGCCCATCTGCTTCACTGCTATCTAAGGGCAAAAAAAACACACACCCTCTGGGAAGCAGCCTGGGTAAAAAGGAGCAGGTCACCACTCACTCCTGGCCATATGCGTTCTTTGAAGGACGCAGAGCACTTGGGCCTTGGCTGGCTTAGCCTTACCCCCCTGACACGTTAGCCTCGTCCGTGCACACGTTCGGCTCGACCGCGATGCCCACTGGAATCCCACCCCCTCCTTCTTCTGCAGCACCATCGACCGTGTACTTCGGGGGTTCGAGTCCGACATCAACTTGGGCATCGACATTTGAGAACTGGCGCCGCGTATCGTGATGCTTCACGCCTTTCCTAGAAGACTTGGCCTTGCGTTCTTCGGAGGTCGTTGGAATAATCGGCACACTCAGGCCTTGCCGGACGCCTTCAAGCAAGGTGGATCCGGTTGACGCTCGGTGCCACGGCAGAGTGTGCTTTAGGATGTTGTAGGCGATTGGCCAAAAGGACCGGAGGAGGACGAGCGCGCTGGTACCCAGAGCAAACCTGAGAAGATGGGAGAGGGTGTTTGACCTTGGACTGCCGTCTCGATGGGGTGTGTGCGCATACGGACGTATAGTGGATGGGATCGCGCACATTGCAGACGGAGATAGACCTTCCCCTCGAAGGTTCTCGTTGATTAGAATGATCGCGATCTCCGGCAAAGCTTCGAACAGCTCCTCGATGATGAGGCTCATGTTTGTTTGGTAGATATTGAGACCCTCCGTCGCCTGAGTCTGTGTCACGCGCATGAGACGTGTTGTCACCCAAGCCGAGAAGGGCGCGAATAGGAACAGCTTGAGATTCATTCCGAGCGCCAAGCAGACGACGACGGCAGCGGGCCAGAGAACGAAAAGCGTGAGCACCGTCAGCATACATGTTGCGGCCAGCAGCACCATCGAGGAACCGAGAAAGAAGAGCAAGCAAGCTAGGTGCACTACGGCGCGCTCCATGCTGCTGCACCAGTCTTGTTCGCCCGCACTCAACTCGACGAGACGGAAGAGATACGCCCTTTTGCCTGACTGGGAGGCTCGAGGAGGTGTTACAGGATTCGCGGCTGTCCAGAGCTCCTTGAAGGTGTCGATCCCAAAGGTGTAGCGCAAATAGAGCGTCGGGAAAGAGCGTGCAGTCTGCACCCAACCACGACAAAGGGCATTCGGGAACCCCATGAAGAAGGCGTACAGGACGCTCGGCACGGTTAGCGCCAGGACCGAGAAGATGAACAGGGAGGGCCTCTGGAATCCAAAGTACGGTCCGTCTCCCTCCAGAACAATGACGACAAAGTACAGGATGTCGCTCACAAAGTCGAAGACGGAAATCGCAACAATCACGACGAGCGAGAAGCGCACCGAAAAGTAGGGGAAGCCTGGCCCACCGTCCTCAGTGCTAGTCAAGTCCCACGGAAGCTTAGCGCCGCCCACGTCGATCACGAGGAGCGAGACGAGGTAGAGGAGGATGGAATACGCACAGACAAAACCGATTGCCACGCGAATGGCGTGCGCGTCCAGCCAGTTGCCGACAGTTGGCGGTGGAGAGGGGGGAGGTGAGGGTGGCGACGATGGCGGTGACGGTGACGATGGCGGCATCGGCGGCATCGGCGGCGGCGGCGGGAGTGGCCCATACTCCACGTTTGGCGAGACGGTGGTCTGACCGTCGCCGTTGGAACCCCAGCACTCTGCGAGCGAGTTGTCCGCCCGGATGCCGCAGGTGTGGTCGTGGCCCGCCGAGATCTGCGTGTACTCCGCGTTTGGCGAGACGGTGCTCTGGCCGTTGCCGTTGTCACCCCAGCACTCTGCGAGTGAGTTGTCCGCCCGGATGCCGCAGGTGTGGTACACGCCCACCGAGATCTGCGTGTACGGCACGTTTGGCGAGACGGTGTAAATGACGAAACCCCAGCACTCTACGAGCGAGTTGTCCGCCCGGATGCCGCAAGTGTGGTCACCACCCACCGAGGTAGCCACCGAGACCTGTGTGTACGGCACGTTGGGCAAGACGGTGGTCTGCCCGTCGCCGTTGTTGAAGCCCCAGCACTCTGCGAGCGAGTTGTCCTCTCGGATGGCGCAGGTGTGACGCCAACCCGCCGAGATCTGCGTGTACGGCACGTTTGGTGAGACGGTGCTCTGGCCGTTGCGGTTGGAACCCCAGCACTCTGCGAGTGAGGTGTCCGCCCGGATTCCGCAGGTGTGATAGCGGCCCGCCGATATGTGCATGTAGGGCACGATTGGCGAGACGGTGCGCTGGCCGTACACGTTCGAACCCCAGCACTCTGCGAGCGAGTTGTCCGCCCGGATGGCGCAGGTGTGCTCCTCGCCCGCCGAGATCTGCGTATACGTCACGTTTGGCAAGACGGTGCTCTGGCCGTAGTCATTGTCACCCCAGCACTCTGCTAGGGAGTTGTCCTGCCGGATGCCACAGCTGTGGATTGCGCCCACCGCGAACCTTGGCGCTATGGCTCGTACAGTCAGCCGGCGTGGGTTGGCCATCGCATCACACCGCATGACCACCGAGATGAGTGTTCTGGCGAGCATCGCTCGTACAGCGACGGGGGCCATGTGTGTGATTGTGCCGCGACTGCGTTGTGACCGGCCGCCTGGTTCGGCTTAGCCTTACGTTCTCCGGCCCGAATCCTTGGCGGGGGGGCCCTAAGTTTGAGCACCGGGCGCGCGGGCGGGTACGAGGTGAGCACTGAGCACTGGGATAGGGTCGTTACCGCATGGTACGGGACCCCTCGATCGTCTCACCCTCCTTCACTGGTGTATTCGGGGGGGGGGGGGGGGGTCATAACAAACGGATAGGATAGGTAAGGTAAATAAACTCCGCGGAGGCGCTAGATGCGCGACTGCACTTCGTCGGGAAGTCGTGGATGCAGAGCCGGCTGCTCCGTCGATTCGATGATGGGCCGGACGCGCCGGAGACGGAGCACGACGTTGCCGATGAGCGGCGAGGCACGTACCTTCCCCCGTCGGAGCCGAGGTGTTAAGGGATTCGGGAAGTGCGGCACGCGGTCAAAAGTGTCGGTGCGGTTGGCGGCGCTCGCGCTGTTGCTCGTGCACGGCCATTGGGCCGCGTGCGCGCTTCATGTCCGTGTGTGTGCTCCCGAGGAGTGTGGAGAGGCATTGCCTCTCTCTCGTCCGCCGCGCCGCCGCGGGACTCACGTGCGGACCGCCCTGAAGCGAGTTCTTTGACTAATATCACATGTTGGGAGACTGATGGGTCAAAAGCATAGATCGTCAATCGACGCGTCGCGCCGTTGCCGATCCGCACACCGAGGTTCTTGGGTGGCGCGCCCCCAGCTCTTCACAAGAACCTGGTTCTCTTGCTCAGCCAGGATCGCTTGTCTGTCGCTGCGCGCCTCCGCTGCCTTCGCGCAAGCAATCGTATCGTGCGCGCATATGGGCGGCTCCCGCCGCCAACCTGCTGGCCCCAAACCTGCCACTGCCAGCATCCTCTGCCTCCACGGCGGCCGCCAGTCGGCGGAGCTCTTCAGGCAGCGAATCGACCGGCTTCGTGCGCGCTGCCAAGCCGAAGGCATCCGCCTGATATTTGTTGACGCGCCAATGCTGCAGCCGGACGGGAGCCGGTGCTGGTACGACGAGGACGGCGGCGACGCGGCTGGCGCAGCCAGCGCTGCGGCGATCGCGGTCCGTGAGGAGTGGGAGCGCCACGCGCCGGTGAGCGGGCTGCTGGGCTTCTCTCAGGGCGCGGCCGTGGCGGCAGCGACCGCCCTGTGCTCTGGTGGCGACGATGCGCCCCTCCCGGGACTGCGGTTCGTCATCCTGGCCGGCGCGCCGCACGAGCCGCTGCCGGTGGCGACGGGGCATCGCTCGCGGCTGCCGTCGCTCCACCTCTTGTCTGCCGCCGACTCTGCCGTGCCGGCGCACAGCAGCGAGGCGGTGGCGGCGCGCTTCGAGGAGGCGCAGGTATATCGTCACGACAAGGGGCACGCGCTGCCATGCCGCGCCGGCGATGTTGACGCGCTCTTGGGCTTCATAATGAGGCATCTCACGCCGGCCGCCGCCGCCACGGCGCCGCGGCCCGACCAGCCGTCTGCGGGCGCACGGGCGGATGCACGGGCGGCAGGTGCACGGCCGGGTGCGGAGGCGGGTGCGGAGGGAGCAGAGGCGGGGGCGGGGGCGGGGGCAGGTGCGGCGTCGCGCAGCAAAGCGCCCCGCAGCAGCAGCGGCGGCGGCGGCGGCGGCGGCGGCGGTGGGAGCGGGGGCGGCGCGGGCGGCGCGCTGCTGAGCGAGCGAGCGGCTCAATTGGCGGCGTGGTGCGAGGAGCTCGAGGCGGCGGAGGCCATCTTCGGGCCCGACTTTGCGCTCGACGAGGACAGTCTCGACGGCGAGGCGCTGCAGGCGGCCGCCGCAGAGGCCTCCGCCGCCGCGGCTGCAGACCCTAAGGGGCGGGCGGGCCCAGCTCCTCCGGTCCGCTTCAGCGTCCGCCTCACCGGCGACAGCGGTACACGAGCGCGCCGCAGCAGCCCCCTCCGTGTCTGAGCCTTCTGCGAAGCTTCTATGAGCCCTCCTGCAGGCACGAGCGCAGAGCAGCTCCCTCCCTCCGAGCTGCGACTCGCTGTCCAGATGGGAGGCGAGGTGGGAGGCGGCCAGCTAGGCGGCCAGCCTCCGCGTTGAGACTACCAGAGATGGCCCGACGATGGCCCGAGTCTGACCGAGGTTTAGGCGCGCCCGGCCCGGCCTCCTCCGCCCCTCGGCTCCGCCTGCAGCTGGTCCACTGCATGCTCGAGCACGAGATGCCGCCCGACGGCGCTGCTGCGCTGCTCGAGGCTGCGCGCGCCGCCGCCGCAGCAGCAGCGCTCGAGGCGGAGCCCGACGGCTCGAGCGCTGCGGTCTGGAGTGCGGTCAACGCCGCCAACGAGGCGCTTGCCGACGGCTCTTGGCGCGGCGGCGGCGGCGGCGGCGGCGGCTCGGACGCGCGCGGCGGAGGTTGCAGCGGCGCGAGTGCAGCGAGAGGAGGGGAGGAGGCGGAGGAGGCTGCGCTCAAGGCGCGAGATTGGGCGAGATTGGGCGAGATGAGCGCGAGGTTGGCCAGATGGTGAGAGGCTGCGCGCTAGGCGCTGCTCGCCGAGTTGAGTGAGGAGGGGACCTCACCGGACCCTTCTCGGACCCTTCCTTCGTTTACTTAGGCGCTGCTCGCCGAGTTGAGTGAGGAGGCGGTCAGCAGCGCGGCGGCGACGCCCCCCGCGGCGCTGCTCGGGGCGGTGCAGTCTGACGGGGCGACGGCGGAGGGGCGGCAGGCGGCGCTGCGGGGCGCGTGGAGCTACAGCGTTGGGCTTGTGGGCAAGCCTTCGGCGGGAAAGAGCACGCTCTTCAACGCGCTCACGCGAGCCGGGTCGGCGCCGGGCGCTGCCGAGGAGGCGAAGACGGGGGCGCAGCCCTTCACCACGATCGAGCCGAACCTCGGGCAGGCGTCCTTGGGCGGCAAACCTCGGCTAATCTCGGGCCATCTCGGGTCATTTTGGGTCATCTCGGGCAGGCGTGGTGGGCGGCGCCCCCCGGCGCGGAGCCTGAGGAGCTCGTCGCCGCCGCCACGCCGACGGCGCACGGCCGCGCAGCCGACGGCCGGCGGCTGCTGCCGTGCCGGCTCATCGACATCGCTGGCTTGGTGCCCGGCGCGTACCTCGGGAGGGGGAAGGGGAACCTCTTCTTGCAGGAGCTCTGCCGCTCGGACAGCCTCGTCCACGTCGTGGACGCCTCCGGCACCACCGACGAGGGCGGCAACCTGCAGGACGCGCCCGAGCAGCTGCAGCAGCACGGCAGAGGCGGGCGCGCCGTCGTCGCCGAGATCGGCTGGGTGCGCGCCGAGATCCACTTGTGGGTCTTCACCAACGTCTGCGCCAAGCGGCCGACGTGGCGGCGGCGGCCCGAGAAGCTCGGAGGCATGTTCACCGGCTACGGCTGCTCGCCTGCCCTCGTGGCCGGCGTGCTCAAGCGAGCGCGCGCCGCTATCATCAAGGCCACCGTCGGCGCCGAGGAGAGCGGCGCGCCCGACGCCGAGGTGCTCGCGGCGGCGTGCGGCGGCACGGCGGAGGAGGACGGCCGCGAGCCGTCGCTCCGCCGGCCGCACGACGTCGCGCTCCACCGGCTGGTTGCGCACTTCGTCGCCGCCCGCTGGCCAGTCGCCGTCGCCCTCAACAAGGTTGACGTGCCCGGCGCGACGCGGCGCGTGAAGAAGGCGCGGGCGCGGTGCCCCTCGGAGCCTTCCCTGAACCCTCTCCGAACCTTCTCATAGGCATGTGGAGGAGGCGCGGGCGCAGTACCCCTCGCGCGTGCTTGTGCCCGTCTCGGCGCGCAGCGAGGTGGAGCGCCTCCGCGCCCACGCCAGCGCCGGCGCCGACGGGGCACGCTCCTACTCGCCCGACGGGTCGACGGGCACCTTGGACGTGCTCTCCGCCGCCGTCGCGCTGCGGCCGCCGACGCTCGCCTTCCCGAGCTCCGACCTCGCCACACTCGCCTCGCTGGGGCGGGGGGCGAACGCGGCGCGCCTCTTTGACTGCCTGCTGCTCAGGCCGTTGTCGACCGTCGCCGACCTCTGCGAGGCGGTCCGGCGGGAGGGGCTTTGCGCCGGGGATCTGGTGCGCGCCGAAGCGCGTGGCGTCTTTACCCCGGAGGTGGCAGTCGTCCGGCGGGACGATGTCGTTGCCGCCAAGGGCCCAATAGTGCGCCTGCAGACGAGGAGGGCGGCCTGGCAGGGCCGCGCGGAGGCCGCGGAACAAGCGGAGGAGCACCAGCGCGGCACCAAGGCGTGCGGGCGGCGGAGGCAAACAGGATAGAGCCGTGAGTAGGATGGTTTTTGGCACGCCCGCGGGATACAATAACCCCCCTGGCGGGATTTCAAAATGTAAAAGCGAGGCCACATTTAGATTCACACGTCCGGGTCCGCGCGGGCGGCGGGGGGGTGGGGGGGACAGAAATGCAAACAGAAGTAGCGGAGACAGATACACTGCGCGCTTCCTCTCTGTCCCATCGCGCCCTCCGCTCGTCTACCTGTACCCCTCGTCCTCTCTAGTAGCACTCTAGTTGCGTCCGTGGGGGCGCTCGTTGCCCCCGACCAGCAGCACAACCGCGTCACGCACGTCGTTCTTGACCGGCTGGACCGATGGGCGCCGAACTTGTTGAGGCGGAAGGCTCCGCCATTTGCGAGGATAGCTTCCTCCCGCGAAGGGACTCGGACACGTTACGACGGAGCTCACGCATGCCCCCCCTACGAGCGCGACTCGGGCTGGCACCGAGAACCTTTGCCAAGAGCGAAAGCGACACCTACCATATCCAAACAATCATCGACCGTCTGCTGGCGTCGGGGTTGTGATAGGCGGGGGACACGCTCCTGGCGATGGAGCCCCGGAAAGCATGCAATGGCAAGGTCGCGGTAGATGCCGGATGCGACCAGCTCTTGCGGTGTGGTCTCAAAAAATCGCGCAAAGGCGCAGCCGTCGCGGTCCGGGTCGTTCTCGTGCGCCATGACGATGGGTAGCCCCGCCTCCCGCACCCGCTCGACCTGCTCAGCGAGCCGGTCGTCCGACCAGGTTGCCTCGCACAGGTACAGCAGCATGTGGGTCGCTCGCGGCGGAATCTCCGCCCCACCGCAGACAATCACGCCAGTGAAGGCGGTGGCGAGCTCGTTTGCCATCGCCCGCGCCCCCTTGTTGGCGTTCGAGGCCCAGAGGACGACTTGTCTAGCGAACCCGAGGTTCCTGCCTTGCAGCTCGCCGGGCACGGTGAGCGGGAGCGACGTGTACGCAGCGTAGGTCGGCGTTTTCAGGAGCAAGGCCTGAGTAGGCAGCGGCGGGTGAGCACTGCGAAGGAGATGCGTGGGTGATACGACGCGTAAGCGATAAGGCGCCTCAGAGATCATCTTTAGCGAGACCAGCTGGAATTCTTCGATGCGCATCCACACCACCAGCGGCCACTTCGCGTCGAAGATGGCGGGCTGAAGGTCCACCGGGCACTCCGCTCGCAACTCCTATAGCCACGGCCGCGGCGATGAGCGGGAGATATGCGAGCGGCGGCGCCACGCCACCTATTTCGAGCGCCTCGAGCGTGCCGCCGCCCTTGGCTGTGATCGATCCAAGCGGGTGGGGAGTGGGGGGCATGGCTGGGCATGCAGGTCCGCCAGTCGGCCCGGCCTCTGACGTGGTGCTGCCGCTGCATTTGCTGAAGAAGAGAGGTGCGACGGCTTGATTTGGAGGCACTGGAGGCGAGGGTGGGGAAGGGAAGGTAATAAAACGGGCACGCCAAACGAGGGGTGGGAGAAGGACAGGGTCCCCACCTGCACGAGCAGGATCTTGTAAGGACGAATAAATAAATAAAACGGGCACGCCAAACGAGGGGTGGGAGAAGGACAGGGTCCCCACCTGCACGAGCAGGATCTTGTAAGGACGATCAGGGACACAGGGGAACGGGAGCGGGGAGCGCATCGCGACACGGAGGGGGGCTGGGCAGGGTTCACCAAACGAGTGATAGGGGATGAGTCTCAACCTACAAATTCTTTTTGTGCCCAGTGTAAAAAGAAAGAAAGAAAACAGACAACCCAAGGGAGGGATGCCTAGTGTTGTGCGAGGGAAGCGGGAGGTAAAATTCTTTTTGTAAAACGGCCTGCGGGCCTTGTTGCCGCCGTCTTCCGGCTCGGTGGTTTCCCTACGGGTCCTCTTGCACGAGCTCGCCTGCATTGGGACCCGCTCTCAGACCGGCATGTCGCTCCTCGCGCTCGCGTATCTCGCCCCGGTGTCCTTCCAGACGGTGGCGTGCGCGCTCCCGGAAGGCCAGTCTTGCACAGCCATTTACGCTGACATCCATGACGGCGACAAGAAGAAGGTGACGATCGGGAGCGGCCACCTCACCATCGAGCCTTACGACAACCAGGAGAAGTGGATCGTCAAGGCGGCCCTCGACACAACGCACTGCAATGCCTCCATCGACTTCCGCGTGGCCGGCAAGCCGAACCCGCCTCCTTCCGCGCTCACCGCCACCTATGTCGTCGGCACCACGGCGGGACCGGGACCGCTCGGACCGCTGCCGCCGGGCGGCGCAGCGCGCAACAGTTTTGGGGAGGTTGTCTTCACCGACCCGACGGGAGCGCTCGGCGGCGGGCTGCCGCTCAATGTCTGGGTGCTGGTGAACGCCACGCTTGCGGGCGCCGGCAGCGTCGCGCCGCGAATGAAGCGAATGTGCGGAGCGATGTAGAGGTTCTCGCGCCGGCTCGTCCTCAGGCTGCGGAGGCGGGACCCTTTTTACGTGGTATGTCTGAACACCGTACCGTCTGCGGTGTTGACGCAGAGTTTTGTTTGAGAGTGGTCCCTCTGGTTCGGCGCCAGGACTAGCCCAGCTGGACCAGAAAGAAAGAAAGAAGATAGACAACCCCAAACGAGGGATGGGGGAGGAGGACAGGGTCCACACCAGCTGGACTAATAAATAAATAAATAAAACGGAGTTTCAAGCTAGGGCTGGGTCGAGGACAGACAACGTCCCCACCTTTGCAGGATACCAGCTGGACAAGCACAACGCGGACCACCCAAGACTGCTTTCAGACGATAACGCCAATTTCCCCTCAACCTGCGCAAATCGTGCACTCACCGCCCGCACACTGCCGCCCATCCCTCCAAACGGGCTTCTTGGGTGGAAAGAGATCACCGGCGGCTTCCCCGGTTACGATCTGGTTTCTTCTTTCGCCTCGCAACCACTGCGTGAGACTCACGATGCGCCTAAACGCGGACCTGATCGCGCGCAGCCCGGCGTACCTGAACGCGCTCAAGGACAGGGAGCTCGACCTGCGTGGCAACAAGATCTCGGCCATCGAGAACCTCGCCGCGTGCCAAAACCAGTTTGACAGCATCGACCTGTCCGACAACGAGATCCGGAAGCTGGAGTGCATGGCGGTGCTGCCGCGCCTCAAGATGCTGCTGCTCGCTCACAACCGCATCAGCCGCCTCGCCGAGCGGCTGTCCGAGGCCTTCCCCGGCCTCGAGACGCTCGTGCTGACCGACAACTCCTTTGCGCAACTGTCGGAGCTGTCGCCGCTGGCGGGGCTTCCGTCGCTGACAAGCCTGTCGCTGGTGGACAACCCGGTCACCAAGCAGCAGGGCTACCGCCACTATGTCATCGCGAGACTCCCGAAGCTGCGCGTCCTCGACTTCAAGCGCGTCACCACCAGCGAGCGCGCGGCGGCGGCGGCGGCGTTTGGGCATGTGGCGGCGGAGGCGGCGACGGGGGACAGCGGCGACGCGGACGGCGCGGCGGCGGCGGCGGGCCCGACCCCGGAGCAGATTGCGCAGATCAAGGAGGCCATCGCTTCGGCGACCTCCTTGACAGAGGCGCGCGCACGCCGAGGGGAGGGGGGGGGGCGCACACGCGCCACAGCCTCCTGGGCCTGCCTTGCGCAGAGCGGACCCATCTCCCCCCCCCCCTTCTCTCCCCTCCCCCCTCGCCCCGCCCCGCCCGGGTGCCGACTCGCGCGCCTCGTCTTGGCAGGTTGCGACGCTGGAGAAGGCGCTGAAAGCGGGCAACTACAAGCTTATTGCGCAGCATCTCGCCACGCGCGCC